AAAGCCAAAAACAGATGCCCTTTTTTGGGCCAATATTTTTCGACTTTGATTCCCGAACAGCGACACGAAGGGGCTGCACAGAAGGCGCCGTTCTGAGTGCAAGCTGACATATTGTTTGATATTTCGCAATTGAGATGGCTGTATCATCCTGTTCAATCAATATATGGATTACTTGTGCAAGCCCTGGGGCCGCATCGTTGGAACACCGCGCTTCAACATTTTTGGAACTTCGCCGGGTGCGATCACACACTAATTTAGTAATATTACTCGAAGACATGGTGAAATTTTTTAATCATTTTTCTTAGAAAGAGAGCTCTGTGCTTTGTCGTCAGTTTGCGCTATAGTTTGTGATAGGGGACTCCGTATTGACGAAGTTACGCAATATTCCAATTTGGTCTTGACTACTATGTTCCACCGTAATAATGAAGACAAGACATCACAAGTAAAATACAGCTACATCACAAGAAAAAAACACAAGCCTCTGGGTGGGCGTTCGAGCAAAGCGTTCCTACCGCGGGAAGGCAACAACCCATCGATCAAGGGGATACGGAATAGGGAAATCGTCCCCCTGCCAGTTCGAGAATAGAAAACTGTGAGCAACTAGTCAAAACCAAAAAAAATATATATAAGGCGCCCACACGGCTAGCCGCCACGTCGGGGTTGACTCACGGCTACCCCTCCCTGCTCTACATGCATGTGGCGAATCAAAAGTAATTACAACAGCCAGGAGACGCGACGTTGCCCCCCACGACGCCAGAAAGGAAGCCCCACCGGTACTGCATTCTGTTCTTTACGTCATGGGCAAAATATCAACCAATTAATCGAAGATGGCCTATTCCTTCACCCAGCAGCGAGATACAGAGGGGGAACGGGCGCAGGGATGCACAGCAATCGTGCACAGTCTCTACAACAACGCCTTCGTACCACCCACCACCCACCACCCCTGCTCTCCCCCGCCCGCCCGGCCCAAATTTCCGTCGCAGCCACAACCACGACCACCGCTCCAAGTTCAAAGGGTATCTGCCAAATCTTTCTTCAGGGCGGCCCTCACTTTTTTCAGCTCGGCTTCCATGATCTGGATATCCTCCAGGTCAACGGCGTCGCCCAGCGCTTTCTCCTTCCTGACGTCCTCCTTGATGTCCGCAAGTGTTTGGCGGAGACGGGCGGAGTATTCGAGTTTCTTGTTCCTAGTCTCGCACCCCTCGATGGTGTCGTAGAAGGAGGTGGGGGCGTCGAATACTTGGGGCTGGAAGGCATACCCAGCAGCGACGCCAAGCCCGCCCCAAGACCCAGTTTCTCCGTTGCTGCTGAGGCGGCGACCTTCGCCGCGTCCTCGATCTCCTTCTCCTTCTTTTTTTTCTTCTCTTGCACGCCAAGGGTGGCGTTCCTCTCCATCGAGTCCCTCTTTGCCCCGGCCCTCCTCCTGGCGTCGGCCGCGGCTCCTTCTGCGCCTCTCGGTTCGTCCGCCCCCCCCCCCCACCCCCGTGTTTTCGCTTTCCGTGCCTTCAGGGAGCACCTGAATGCTGGTCTGCTCGATCCCAGGGTACTTTTCGCACATCAGGCCGTGGTAATACGTGTCCAGGCTTCCTGGTGTATTGCGTAGTGCGGTCAGCGCGGGATAGTCATGGGGCGAGGGGGGTCGGGGTGAGCTGGTGCGTGCTTGGAGCCTGGGGTGTTTCTCCAGTTTCAACTGCGTAAGAACGAAAGAAAGCCAAAGAGACATGATAGTCTTCGATTCGGGGCTCTCCTGCGTCGGGAGTCTCTTGCCCGTCCCAGCAAACTCGCTTCCGGGAGGGCAAGGCAAAACACCAAACAAAGCACGAAACAAGCACAAGCCTATGGACAACACCGTATCTTCGCTGAGCGGCGATGCACAAAACGGTGCCGCACGTTGGTTGGGCTTAGCGGAGGAAGTAAGTGGTGGGTCTACCTTCATCATATGGTTGGATGCCTTCACTATTGTAGAGTGGGGAGAGTGGTCGATGCCGCCCCATTCAAAATTGACGCACTCCAGTACATTTACGTGCTGTATTGGAGTTCACGCGTTTCCAAGAGATAGGCTCGTGGGCGTTGCAGCTAACAAATGAATACTACAACTGATGTGAAGGCACCCACAAAGTCCGGAACGCGCAACGACCCGCGGGGCACGACATTAACTGGCTCCCGGTTTCCCAGTCATAGTGCTATGGTTCTGCAATGAACCACGTTTACTGGACCGCCGCAGCATTCACTATATACCACAGAATAAAAACGACGGGGGAGGAGGGGGGGGGAGGGTTCCCTGCGACCTGCCAACAGAAAAAAAAAACTGAAAGGGAATCCACTTACCCTTGCAGAAGGAGTACATCTCTTCGTGGTGTCCGGATTTCTTGGAAGCTGACGTACATGTCGCCGGGGTCCTTGATGATCTCGTCCTTCATCGTTGTGAACTTGTCGAAGGTTCGGCTGGTGCACGACGTTCGGGTCGACACCGGCGGCCAGCACACGATCGTTGTCTGCGAAGGTGAAGGGCACCTGAAGGTTTCACGCGAATCACGCGAGGTTCTATTAGGAGGTGTGTGCGTCGTTCACGTTTGTGTGGTTGCTCTTCGGAACAAACACGCCTACGTCAAAACAAGACAGATGCACACATTTGTGTCCGGCTTTTTCCTGCGATGCTCGTACGTCCTCTAAGTGGGCCGACCGCTCTGCACCATGCCAATCGCATCCCACCAAAGCAGTCGATACAATCGCCATCACCGTTACCTTGGCCGCTTGGCCGCCATAAACGAGACAGACAACGAAAACAATAGAACTGCAGAGGGCAAATGCCAGGGAGTCACCTTACTTCTACATGCACTGTATCTCACCAACACTTTGCGGTCCTTGAACTGTTCCCAAAGCTCTACCATGGCGGGGCGGGTCTCNCCACTTATCGAGATTCATTGCCACCAGCTCACAGAACCGAGGGACGCAGTGCTTGCTCTTTCGACGCGCTCCGATGTCCTCGACGCCCCCTTCGGCGTTCTTGAGCTCCTCGATCGCAGCCAAGACGGCGGCGGCCAGGTACGACCCACCATTGCACGGCAGCAGCTTCCTCTTCTCGAAGCTCGCTCCCATGTCCACGGCAGATTACGTCACGAGGATGAGTTCTTCGGGGATCTTCTCGGGACTCCTTCACCGACGCGGGTGGCTGGGAGGCTGGCGTTCAGCCTGTCAAGTGACGCGCACGTGGATCGAGGGGGGCGGGGCGGGGGAGGGGTGTACTCATAGGGGTGTACTCATAGTCGTGCATGCCGTAGTCGTTAGACCATTGACCTCGCATCCCTACAAAGCCGGGACGGAGCACGCCGGGTTCTCACCGGACCAGGCTCTCACATCACCAAGCGCGAAGCGCCGTGACATATTCGGCGAGTCGCATGAAGGGTGCACTGCATCCTGCGAAGGGTTTTCGGCATCGGGTCGCAAGGCATCGGGTCGGCAAGGGTTTTCGGCA